CGGTGGGTGATGCTCAAGATTTCCCGTGACTAAGTAAGAACGGCACATGGCCCAGCCTGGGGGCACAGTCAGTCGTAAACTGGACTGCGGTGCTGGGAGCCACATGGCCGACTGTGGGTTCAGATCCCTGAGCTGGTCTGGAAACACATCGAGTGTGTGCATGAATGCCCCGGATTCGGAAAAGGGAAAACGGATCGTGCCCTAAGGACTCTGTCAAAGGTGTTTCTCTCTCACGCCCATGCACGTGTTCACTATCGTGAATAAAATTATCTTTAGAAAGAGAAAAATAAGAATAGTACAACTCAGCTCCTTTGTTAAAAACTTTATCCTGCACATAATTTTTAAAACTCCATTATCTTGGGACCAGCAGATGGCGTGACGGTTACATTGCTAGACCCCCACATAGTCAACTGTGGTTTGAGTCCTGGACCCAATGACTCAGAACTCATGTCAGGCATGTGTGCGGGCATGGTGAAGAGGGGAAGAGATTGTGGTGTGGCCATCCCCCCTGGGGAGCCATTTCTTGCTTTCTGTCTCTCTGGCACATGTGCACTATAGCAAAACTCTCAAAAAAAAAAAAAAAACTCTTACCTTGTCTTCTTGAAGACAAGAAAACTCTCTTATCAGGTGTTTAGCATGAGAGGGGGATTTTTTTTTTTTTTTGAGAGAGATTTTTTTGCTATAGGGTGTATGCACTCACTAGAAATACAAAGAGACAGAATGAGAGAAATCACCCCCTATGGGGGATGGCCACACTGCAATCTCTTCTCCCCCATCTCCCTCTCGGGATCTTGTGCACGCATGCGCACGTGCCCAGTGTAAGTTTAAACCACCGGGTCTGGGACGCAAACCGTGATCAACTACATGGGATTCCAGCGACACAGCCATTATGTTAACTGCTGGTCCCATGAGAGGGGGATTCTGACCCTTTGGAATGGTTTTGTGTTTTTTTTCTCAAGTTCTGCATGCCCCCAGCAGTGGATGGGCCTGCTGAGTCTATCCTGTTTATCCACATCAGCTTTGAATGTCCCAATTTTAAAAACTCAGAATGTAATCGAAAATGTTTAAGAACATCAAATATTCTTAAAATATTATTTTCTGAAGTTTCGATCACAGGGCACTTCATAGTGCCACCACCTAACATCCCCTCCGACCCCTGAGGGAGGGGTTCTTGTCCTTGTTTGAGAGATGAGGGGGTGAGGCCTCGGAGCGGCGGTGTCTCCTAGCAGAGGCTGCCAATGGTGGCTGATCACACACATTATCGAGGCCCGTGCTCCTGCACACAGCCGCTTCCTCCTGTGACTGAAAACCAAACTAAACTGAGCCAATCAGTGGCGTGGTGATTAGAGCATTAGCTTCTACACGGCCAAATGTGTGGCTTGAGTCTGGACCTGGTGAGTTGAAAAACATGCCAGGTGTGTGTGTGTGTGTGCGTGGCAAAAATCCCAAGAGGACAAAGGAGGATTGCAGCATGGCCATCCCCTTAGACGTGCCTCTTCGCTTTCTCTCTCTCACTCTCTCTAGTGAGTGTATATACCCTATAGCAAATTAAAAATAAATAAATAAATAAAATAAAGGAAACACTGAACTAAACTAAACCAAAAGGCAATGAAATACTACTTCCTCATCCGGCTAATTTTATCCTCTCTCTGAGCAGAGAGAAGTGCATGGTCCTAGCATCTACTAGGAGGCAGCCTTAGTCACCAGTGGCTCCTCCATTCTTCCAGAGATATTCTCCATGTATAAAATCTTAAATCTGAGCTGGTCTATGTCCTAGTGCTTAAGGGACTCAGCTCCCACATGACTGACCCTGGTTTGAATCCCGGTTCTGACAGCTTGAAGAACACACAGGCATGTGTGCGTATATCCTCGAAATCCCACCAGGAGGGAGAAACGGAAGAGAAGGGATTGTGGCATGACCACACTCCACTAGGAGGTGCCTTCACCCTTTCCCTGTTTTTCTGTCTTTCAGGCAAACATCCTCTAGCAATCAAACAAATAAACGAACAAAATCTGGAGCTAACTCCACGGCCTGTGAATAAATCAGGATTCCCCCATGGCTGGCCTCTCAATCCGAGATCTGGACCCAGAGACTTGAGAAGAGCACTGGGCTGTGTGCGTGCATGTCCCAAATCCTGATGGCAAGGAGGGATGGAGGAGAAGAGTGCAGCAAGGCCGTGCCCCAGGCGGGGAGGGGGTGCTTTCTCCTTTCCCCTTCTCTCTTTGTCTCTCTTTGGCAAGTTCACATGCCCTCTACCCAAAAAATAAAATAAAATAAAATAAAAATCTAGGTGTGTATGTCTTATGTAAATGGAAGCAAATAATCCCCATGTAGATTTTTCTACTTAATATTTTCTCAATGACCCTTCCAGATTAGTGGTTAGTAACTCATAAAGGAGGGGAGAGGGTGGATTTCAGACCCTGGTCATCCCCACTTATACTCAGGAACCTGGACACCATTCCTTCCCTATAGACTGAAAACCCTGCACAAACCCCTATTACAAAATCCCTTGTTTGGCCAGGAACTTAGAGGCCTATATAACCTGACCCTAAACCACCCTGAGAAGTTTACATCCTTATAATCCTGTATAAAACTCCATGTTCTCTCCTGCCAGTACTCTCTGTCCCACATGCTGGGTACCACCCTCCCCACCCACTGTCACACAATAAACACCACCAGGTCTACGAGCCCCATTCCAGCTCCATCTCTTTTGGTGTAAATGCCCCACATCTCTCCAGCTAAGGGGGTTCTTCCCTCTTGTGAGTCTCAGTAGTACTGACGGTTTGAGAGTTAATATTTTTTTGTTCCAACATCTTAACAGTAAATGTTTGTCAATCAAATGACTAAGTCCAAAGGGATTAATCATAGGAGGTGTGTAACCAGTTCTTCTTCACCTCACCTACAACATGTGTTCACTTGAAGTGGATATTATCAATAGATGAGCTGATTTTTTTTCCTCTGGTGTTTGATGTTTATGTTCCAGAGATTAAACTTTCACCCCTGGCTCAAGGCCCTGAGCGAGCAAAACCATGGTGGCACATTCAATAAACGACGGTGATTGTCGGGTGATCCTGACACGGGCTGTTTCCGGTGGCCCTCCATTCTGTGGGGTTTATAAACAGGCACAAATCAGGCCCTTCTTGTGCACAGTGACCCACAGACACCTCTCAGGCAAAGGAGACCTGTGGCCGGTGTCCTGGCTCTCTGTCCTCCCAATCTTTTCCCTAATATACCAATCCAGGAACTTGGGTTTCTGTTCCCCCACTTAAAGGATTCTGCCAGAGTCGATGGTTTCACAGGGGAGTGCATAAGAAACCATTAGAACATGAAGAAAGGAAAGTTCTTGTTGGGAGTCGAGTGGTTAAGTGCTGTGCATTGGGGGCCACCAGGTAGCATGGAGGTTAAGGCACTGGATCCCACATGGTCGACTCCACGGTTTGAGTCCCAGACCCGGCAACTTGAAAAATCACACAAGGTGTGTGTGCATACATGCCCAAAATCCTGAGAAGAGGATGAAGGAGAAGGGTTTGTGGCATGGCCACCCCACCCCGACCCCACCCCGGGAGTGATTTCTCAATTTCCCTTTCTCTGTCTCTCTCTGGCAAGCATGCATACCCCATGGCAAAAAAAATAAATAAATGAATGAAAAAGAAAGATGATGGAACCACAACGTGGCTGAAATTCACTGTACTCGTGTTTTATTGGCTAAAGCAAGGCACGTGGGCACCGTTAGCATCAGTGGGGTAAGAAGGCATCATTTTCCCACAGGCCGGGGCAGTAGAATTATTTAGAAATCAGCAATAATGAAAACAAAGCATCTCAAACTCTGAGATGATAAAATTGTTTCTGAGGGAGAAAATGATTATGTTAAATCCAGATATTAGAAACAAGAAAGGTTGGCTGGTCCGAGTGCAGTGGTGTTTACAACTAATTGATCACAGCCAGTTACAGAAACAAGAAAGGTTGAAAAGAAATGAACCTAGATTTCAACTCCAGAAACTAGAAAAGGAGTAACAAATAAACCAGAGAAGGTAGAGGAAGGAATTAATAAAGATAAAATAGATAATATGAGAGAGAAAACAGAAAGTAGACTGGAGTCTATTTTCTAAAGCCTTTGGCAAATATGAAGCAGAAAAAAAAAAAGAGAAAGCAAGAAAGAAAAAAGACAAAATAACATTAGGAATGAAAACAGGATACAAAGATTTTACTTTTATTTATTATTTTTTTTGGAGAGGTTTTTGCTATAGGGCACGTGCGCTCGCCAGACAGACAGAGAAAGAGAGACAGAAAGCGAGAAATCACCCCCCAGGGGGGATGGCCACGCTGCAATCCCTTCTCCTCCATTCTCCTCTCGGGATCTTGGGCACGCACGCACACGCGCCTGGCGTGAATTTAAGCCACCGGGTCCGGGACTTGAACCAGAGTCGACTGCGTGGGAGTCCAGTGACATAGCCATTACGCTAACTGCTGGTCCCAAGATTTTACATTTTTTAAATGCCATCTATAACTTCATAACAATGAATTTAGAAATTGAGATGATGGGGAATGACTTTCTAGAAAAACATAAATTACCAAAACTGACTCAAGAAACAGAAAGCCTCAGGGCTGGTCCTGCGGTGCAAAGCTTAGGTGCTGTGCAGGGGACGCCAGAGTCCACAGCCTGCCAGGTTCGAGTCTCAACACTGGAAGTTTGAAAAACATGCTAGACATGTAAGCACACATATCCAAAGATCCTGAAGGGATAGAGAATTGGAGGAAAAGGAATGTGATGTCATCAGACCCCATCAGGAGGTGCATCCTCTCTCTCTCTCTCTCTCTCTGGCATTGGAAAAAAAAGGAAGAAGAAGGAGGAGGAAGTGGAAGAGGAGAAGAAGAGGAAGAGTAACTCAGAAAGCCTGTACTTAATAATAACAATATAAAAAATAGGTAGTCAAGGGACCAACAGATGGCATAATGGTTACGTACCTGGACTCCCACATAGTCAACACGGTTCGAGTCCCAGATCTGGCGGCTTAAAATTCACACCAGGCACGTGTGTGCGTGAACCCAAGTTCCTGAGAGGAGAATGAAGGAGAAGGGATTGCAACATGGCCATCTTCCCTAGGGAGTGATTTCTCGCTTTCTGTCTCTCTTTCTCTATCTCTCCAGTGAGCCCTATAGCAAAAAATCTCTCTTAAAAAAAAAAAAAAAAGTAGTCAAAGATCTACCTTCAAAAAAGAAAACAACGAATGCATATGGCCCCTAAGGTAAGGTTCTGCCAAGATTCCAAGGAAGAGTGAAGTCCATGGGATAGATGTCCCTGGCTCAGTAAAGGTGGACCTCTTACCAAGAGCAGATCATCACTTTTCCACTGGAGGCGCCATATGACCAAGGTGTGGTCAAGGCCATGAAAGTAGAGGGCAGGTGCTTCTGGAAAGGGTTTTCTTCTCCACTAAGAACAGAGGGGGTGTGGAGCGCCCTGCTCCCTCTCCCTGTTCTGGCGTGTTGCCCTGTAGATGTACTGCAGCAGGCTGGTGGCCTGATGGTGACCCGTTGAGGACAGATGCGAAGAATCTGGACTCTCCATGGCGTTGCTGAGCACTAACTTACCCCTGGGACCTCCTACATGAGAAAAATACATTCTTGTTATGTAAACCACTGTGCTTTGGCTTTCTGTTCCGCAACAGAAACATCGTAGCTGAAATATGTGTGTTCTACCAAACTTTAATGGCCTAAGTATAGCCCAGATAATATCAAAGCTTTCGGAGCCCGGAAAAAGTTGAAGAATGTTCCAGCTCATTGCAAGTGGGTTGGTCTTGCATAATCCTGATACTACAACTAAACACTTTCATCTACCCTGTCCAAAAGGAATTTTTCTTTTAAATCTTAGATGTAATTAGTGTATTGAGTGGTTTCAGTGGTAATATAGAGACAGAAATCTCTGTCTTTAGGAAAAGGTCTTTCACACAAGTGCTTGTCTAAGAAGTCAAAACACGTTTCTTTTTTTTTTTTTCGGCCAAGATAATGTAGAGAAAAAATAGAATATAGCGATGTGTTTCCTCCTGTTTTAAATAGCCTGGTAATTGCCGTGACTCACTAAAGCTTAGTTCTTAATTTCTAAGCTTTTGATCTCATAAAAAACCGAACTGGGAATCTTGACCAGATGGCTGTTACAACAGGTTCACATTTTATTGAAATGTTTGCACTGGGTCTTGGCCAGATTGCACTGCTGTTTGAGCTTCCTCCTACTTCACCTTCGGAGGTGTTCGTTTCTGTAGCCCTTCTTCAGCTGATGCAATTCAACCTTCACAAGTTAATAAGTTGTTTTTAGTGAAAGTGGGGCCTTCAATAGAGGAATAACGTGGGTGAAATCTGTTCTGCTTATTCGAATTTAAATATGAAGACTAAGTGAAATGTATGCCCAAATGTGAATGCCAACATTCTTATATACTGTCATTAGGCAAATGGCCAAGAGGTTCCATGCCAAGGAGATAGGAAATGCAGGAGCATGGCAGAGCCGTAGGCGTTTGGGACTCAAGGCCAGGCAAACCTGATTACTGGAAGGTACAGAGGACAACAACCTCATTGAGGAAATGGGAGGGGAAAGTAATTACTAGGGACTTAAGAACAGAGCAAGGGTCGACCAGGAACGGGAGGGAAAGCAGAGACCTGGTATAGACACCTGTGAGCCAAGGTCATGGCAGAGGCAGCTAGTACACCATGGACTCTATCTAAGCATTGTCCTTAGGAGTTAGAGGCAGTGCTGTGCCTGGCCCTGGGAAACAGAGGGGGGAGGATGCAGAACGAAACGAAAGCGCTGAGTCAAATTCCTTACACCAGACGTATTAACTGCCCCTCAGAAGCTCAACTGTCAGAAAAGGCTGATCATCTACTGCCATGAGAGGAAGACTTTATTTCCTGGGTCTATGAAGAACTGACCCTGGAAAAAAATGAAATCAAGAAGTTGTGTATTGGGCCAGCAGTTGGCGTGGTGGATAAGGCACTGGTATTCCCACATGGCTGACCACGGTTCGAGTCCCGAACCTAGCAGCTTGCTCTCACTCTCTCTCTCTCTCTCTCCCTCTGGCAAAACTAATGTAAAAAAATAATAAATGAATGAATAAAATAAAATAAAATAAAATAAAATAAAATAAAATAAAATAAAATAAAATAAAATAAAGAAGTTGTGTATTTAGTGTACTCACCCCCCCCTTGCAACCCCCTGGTTAACTCCAGAAATCAAAACATATTCGCTTAAGAAGCCTGGCTCGGGCCAGCAGGTGGTGTGGATGTTAAGGTGCTGGAGTCCACATGGCCAGCTGTGCGGTTCCAGTCCCAGACCCAGCAACTTGGAAATCATGCTTGGTATATGTGTGTGTGTACCCAAAATCTGGAGAGGAGAATAGAGGAGAAGGAATTACAAGTGACCATCCACCCTGGAGGGTGATTTCTCTCTCTCTGCTTTGTGTCTCTCTGTGGTGAGTGCATGCACCCTATGTCAAAATGAAATAAATAAATAAAAGCCTAGCTCATCCAAGAAGTTCAAAGTGCCAGAAGGATCCCACCTAACTAAACCCCTCTTACAAAGTCTTGGCAAGTAAACATTTTGCTCTAACTTCCAAATGAACTGTTGGAGGGTTAGCTGTCTTCGTAAACCTGGGCACCACACAACGAAGTTCGTGTCAGCCAAGATTAGCCTGTTTGAGAGAATCCATCCCGAGGGGCCACAGGCAGTATGTGGACATGGCAGCTCAGAAACGAGGCTCTAGGGTGATGCCCTGCAGAACACGAGCGTGAGACCAAGATGGAGACTCAAGCTCTGGTTCCACTTTCTTCTTCTTTCTTTCTCCCTTTCTATCTTTTTCATGCCATAGGGTGCATGCAAGCACCTGAGAAAGAGAGAGGGGAGAGAGAGAGTACCTATCCCCACACACAAGGCTTGGTCATGCCATAATCCTTTTTCTCCACTTCTCCATCCCATCAGGATTCTGTTGATACGCGCATGCCTGGAGTGTAAGTCCCCAAGACAGACTCACACTCTGGCTAGTATGCGGGATCTGGCTTCCTTAGCTGCTGCACTACCGGGCTGGCCCTGAGGCTTGGATCTGGGTTTCTTCTTGGCCAATTTACATTTGTCCTAGAAATAAGATCCCACCTTTCCACAGTAATGCCTGTTTCTCTCTCAATGTCACTCAAAGGAGCTGCACTTTAAGTTTACTATAGACTAAGAAAGAGTTAAGTCCTGGTAAACATGGAAGGGTGTTTTACTTCCTACCACTCTGCTAAGTTGAATCACAAGCCCTACTGTTTCTTTCTCTACTTTTTCTATTTGTCTTTTTTGTTTTTTGGTTTTTTCTTTTTGCATTTCCTCTCCCACCTTCTAACTTTATTGTAGGTATTCCCGTTCCCAAACAAGGATACTAAAACAAGGGGAAACGTCTCCATGAAGAGATGACGACTTGGCGCAGACAAGTAGCAAAAAGAGGATTAAAGCATCCTGTTGACTACCAAAATATTTCTCCCCCCAAGAAAAGAAAAGAGGGGCTGACAAGTGGTGTGGTGGTTAAAGGCACTGGAGTCCTACATGGCCAACCGTGGTTCGAATCCTGGACCTGGTGGCTTACTTTCTCACTTTCCCTATCTCTGTCTGTCTCTCCCTGGTCAAATTAAATAATAATAATAATAAAAATGTTAAATAAAATAATTCTGTTTAAAAAAAGAAAAGGAAATACAAATTGCTCGTGTGGTCCACAGATTTAACAAGCCAAAAAACAAAATAAAACAAAACAAAATTCACTTAACAGCTGCCCCTGGTATACTCACCAGCACCTTCCTCTTTTCATGATCTCCTGACTGTCTTAGCAAGGTCACTTAGTTCCTTCGGAAGGCTTGTAAAAAGGGCAGGCACAGTCAGAGAATGGTTACAAACGTGTCTGTTCCCCTTCTCTCCTCTTCTGCAGTGCTTTCCCAAAGGGAGCCGGGGACAGGCCTTCCTCATCTCACTCTCCCAGCTTCCTGCTCAGTTAATGGGAACATTCCGAATACATGAGCACGTCCTGTCCCTGCCTACGTTGTGTAACCCACGTGCTGGAAAGATCGGCCCCGCGTCCAACTCCGTGTAGGACTTGGGTGGCGGGTGGGAGCCTGAGCCCAACCACTGCGTGCTGAAATCCTCCTCCCCGCAGCCTACGTAGGACTTGATCTCTTCCAAGAAGAGGAATGTGCTTCTCTTTCCTTGCCCATTCAAAAATCAGGACTCTGTTTCCAAATGGTAATGGCGAATCACAATAACGTTGTCAATTGTGTATCCAGAAAAGATCTTAGCGAACACGTGGTTCAACATTGTTAAGCGGAGGCCGACAGGGCCTGGAGGAGTCTGCTAACACCCAGTTTCTAAGCGGAACAGTAGGGAGAGGTGCCTGGGTGTGGGGTGTGGGCGGCTGGACTGCTGTTTCCCTTCCTTTCTCAGAAACCTGAAAATATAAGGAACTAGTCTAAAAATATGGAGGTTGAGCCAGCCTGTGGCCTGATAGTTAAAGCTGGGTCCCAAATGACCATCTGTGCAGTTTGAATCCCAGACTCGGTGGCTTAAGAACATGTCAGGTGCATGTTCGTGTGTGCCCAAAATCCTGAAAGGAGGGAGAAATGGAGAAAGACTATTCCCCATGCTGTGGAGGGATGCTCTCCCTCTGCCTCTTTTTCTCTGGAGAGTGTATGTGCCCTCTGGCAAATATAAAACATTAAACATTAATAAAAATCTATGGAAGCTCTCAGGAAACCAGTTTTCCTAATCACTGTTATAATTCTACCTACAACCTGAGTTCCAGTTCTTGCTCTTTACTCTTAAAAGGGAGCCTATGGGAACCAGCAGTCAGTGTAATGGCTATGTCCCACGTAGTCGACCACGGTTCACGTCCCAGACCTGGTGGCTTAGAACTCATGCCGGGCGCGTGTGAGTGTGTGCCCAAGATCCCGAGAGGAAAATGGAGGAGAAGGGATTGTGGCGTGACCATCCCCCCTGGGGGGGGTGATTTCTCGCTTTCTGTCTCTATGTCTCTCTCTGTCTGTCTGGCGAGCGCACACGCCCTATAGCAAAAACCTCTCAAAAAAAAAAGGGAGCCTACAAATAGAGTAGAAAAGGGCTGGCAGGTGGTATGGTGGTCGAGGTGGCTGGACTCCCACATGGTTGACTGCGATTCTAGTCCTGGATCTGGCAGCTTGCTTTCTCACTTTCCTTCTCTCTCTGTCTCTCTCTGGTAAACTTCCAAAAAAAATAAAAATAAAATCATGATAATAAAATAATTCTTTAAAAAAAAAAAAAGAAATAGAGTAAAAAGAATGGAGTGAAGATCTACCACATGGGAAACCTTAAAGAAATGTCTGTTGAAATCATCAACAAATGCAGGAAGAACTTTAGGTTCGGATGCTAGCTTTTGTTTTGATTTTGCTATAGGGTGCGTGTGCTCGCTGGAGAGAGACAGGGAGACAGAGAGAGAGGGAAAGTGAGAAAACATTCCTTGGGAGGATGGCCACACCACAATCACTTTGTCTCTATTCTCCTCTCGGGATTTTGGGCACTCGTGCCCATGTGCCCGGCAGGCATGTCTTTCGAGATATTGGGTCCAGAACTTGAGCCAAGCAGTCGGCCACATGAAATCTAGCTGCCTCAACCACCACACCATTGTTTGGCTGGAGATGTTAGTTTCAAAGGCATTTAAATAGAAGATTATAGGTTTTCTCTCTCCTTTCCTCTTCCAAATGCTATTCCAAATTTCTGCATTATATATTTGAGAGGGATTGATCTCACCCCCAGGTCAAAAGTGGACTCTTGTGAGCTTCATCCAATCAGCATACATCATTTTTCTAGCTTCATGATTGGCTTAGGATGAACACAGTGTCCAAGTCAGGGCAGTGGGGACCAATGAGAGTACGTTCGGGAGTTTTGTTTAAGCTCCTGATGATGCAAAATCTCTTTTCTGCTGAATTGAACTTGAAAAGCATGCAGGTCCACAAGCTTCTGGAGACTAACCCTAAAGTAACAGAACCAATTAATGGAAAGTAAATATCCAGGATTCGTTTTTAGTATTTGAGACCTGGATCAGCTCTTTCCTGAAGACAGTAACCTGTGGACTTTCAACAATGTGCTTCTGTAAATTTCCCCGATTGTTGAACTGTACTTAATTTTGCTTTCTGTTCCTTGCTATGGAAAGATCATTAGCTGATATAAGCTGAAGTGATTTCCAGGAAGTTGAAACATATGTGTGTTTATGAACAGCTCCTAACTCCCAGGCTAACTTTTTTCTTTTTATTTGAGAGGTTTTTGCTATAGAGCACGTGTGCTCGCCAGACAGAGAGAGAGAGACATAGAGACAGAAAGCAAGAAATCACCCCCCAGGGGGGATGGCCACGCCGCAATCCCTTCTCCTCCATTCTCCTCTCGGGATCTTGGGCACGCACGCACACGTGCCCGACGTGAGTTTTAAGCCACCGGGTCCGGGACTGAACCATGGTCGACTACGTGGGAGTCTAGTGACATCGCCATTACGCTAACTGCTGCTCCCTCCCAGGCTAACATTTAATCAAATGACGGTTTTCTTCGTAGTAGTCCCTGAACGGTAGAGTTATGTACTTGTGTGCAGGGCAAGAAGTTACTGAGTTTGTGTAAAAGTAACCCAGTCATGGCCCTGCAGTGAATCAATTGCAACACAATCATCTGGATCAAGGAACTTGAATTCCCACGGCCCTGGAGACAGCGTCAAGTCTCTCAGGAAAGAATGTTGAGATACTGCCCAGAGTGACATCGAAATTTCCCCTCATGTTCCTATTAGTCAGATTGTGACTGTTTCTGCTTAAAAGAACAGAGTCACTTCTCTAACCAAATTATTTTCCACTAAAAAATAAAACTGACGGACCAGCAGTTAGCGTAATGGCTATGTTGCTGAACTCCCATGTAGTCGACAGCGGTTCGAGTCCCGGACCCGGTGGCTTAAACTCACGCCAGCTGCATGTGCGTGCGTGCCCAAGATCCTGAGAGGAGAATGGAGGAGAAGGGATTGCAGCATGGCCATCCTCCCCTAGGGGGGTGATTTCTCGCTTTCTCTCTCTCTGTCTCTCTTTCTGGAGAGGGCACACGCCCTATAGCAAAAACCTCTCCCCCCTGCAAAAAAAAAAAAAAAAAGTCAAATCAAAAGGAAAAGTTACTGTTTAAATAACTTATTTTTTTTGGAAAGGTTTTTGCTATAGGGCACATGCACTCACCAGAAAGACAGAGAGACAGAAAGCGAGAAATCACCCCCCAGGGGAGATGGCCACACCACAATCCCTTCTCCTCCACTCTTCTCTCGGGATCTTGGGCACACACGCACATGCACTCAGCGTGAGTTTAAGCTACCAGGTCCGGGACTCGAACCGCAATCGACTACGTGGGAGTCCAGAGACATAGCCATTACACCAAAGGCTAGTCCCAACGTATGTTATTTGTTAATAAGATCAGTAACGCGATCCTGGCTTCTGGAAACTCAGCCTCAGGTTCTGAATTGCTTCTACTTTGTCCTGGGAGTTGTCCAGCAAACACGGCAGAAGGCACGGCTTATTTGAATAGAAGGAAGTGAATCCTGATGGCTATTTGTGCGACCTCTTTATCCGAATAAAGAAAGCTTTTAGTCCATATTTGTTTATTCACAGAAGGCCTTGACTTCAGGATATGGAAAAGATTTGTTTACTGTCATTACTCCCGATCTCTGATGGGCAACTTTTTTTATGTGTAGAATTTTTGAAGAATTATGATTTTTCTGGGTTAAAAAAAGTTTATCTTTTTCCTGTTCTTCTTTAATTGCCAGGGGCTGCGGCAATGAGAGAGAGAGAGAAAAAGTGAGAAAGCACCCCACAGGACATGGACACACCACAATCCCTTGTACTGCATTCTCCTCCACCCCGTTGGGATTTGGGGCACGCACACACATGTGCTTATCATATTTCTCAAGCCACCGAGTCCAGGACTCAAACTCTACAGTCGGCCAGGTGGAATTTAGCCTCCTTAACCACCATGCCACAGGTAGCCCAACTTCAACTTTATTTTTGGAGAGGCTTTTGCTATAGGGCGCTTGCACTCACCAGAGAGACAGAGAGACAGAAAGTGAGAAATCACCCCTCCTCCCCCGGTGGGGGATGGCCACGCCACAATCCTTTCTCCTCCATTCTCCTCTCGGGATCTTGGGCATGCACACACATGCACCTGGCATGAGTTTTAAGCCACCGGGTCTGGGACTCAAACCACGGTCAACTACATGGGAGTTCAGCGCCATAGCCATTACGCTAATTGCTGGTCTCCCCACTTGAACTTTTTAAACGAAAAGAATATATATGAGGAACTTTAAAAGTTTGTGGGATGGAACCAGCAGTTAGCGTAATGGCTATGTCGCTGGACTCCCACGTAGTCGACCGCGGTTCGTGTCCCGGACCCGGTGGCTTAAAACTCACGCCGGGCGCATGTGCGTGCGTGCCCAAGATCCCGAGAGGAGAATGGAGGAGAAGGGATTGCAGCGTGACCATCCCCCCTGGGGGGTGACTTCTCGCTTTCTGTCTCTATGTCTCTGTCTGGCGAGCCCACGCACCCTACAGTGAAAATCTCTCAAAAAAAAGTTTGTGGGAAAACATAATTAAACTATGAGTTTATTTTGGTAAAAAAAAAAAAAAAAATTGGAATCCAGGCATAGTGTTTTCATCATATACGTTTTTTATTAATTGTTTTGAAAACTTCTCATTTTCAGTTGAACTACATGAAATTGTAGTTTTTTTAGGTGAAAATTTGATTTGATTTCAGCTAATACCTAGTAACTCAATTTGTTTAAATGTTAGTTCCTTCCCTATTACCAAAGAACTTAAATCTTGGGGCCATCAGATGGCATAGCGCTTACGTCACTGGACTCCCACGTGGCTGACCACGGTAAAAGTCCCAAGCCCGGTAGCTTGAGAATCACACCGGGTGCGAGTATGTGTGTGCCCA